ACCATGGAGTTACGGACACACGAATCGTGTTATTGAGTGCCAAATATCGGCAACTTCGATTTTTTAACGCTATTTTTTGATGGCTTTACGAAGAACAGTCTTATGTAAGTATATCAGCCAACCAGGAAGCGCACGGGCTGTTTGGATAAACCCCGCACGATGTGAAATAGGAAAATATTGCAGTCGACTATGGAGGAGCTCTGCTGTAACGAGAGGTATCCTGCAGTACGTTATTTAGTGAATATTGGATCATATCGTTAATTACTAGACTTGCTAGATGATTAAGATTTAAAAAATGAAATTCTTTCTAATATAAGTTAAATTTTGTTATTATGAACTTTGTGCAGAGGAGGAAAATTTCACGTTGTGTGACGTGTATCGGCTTCGTTGAGCATCGATCATGAACAACAATCAAACATTCTTTTCCCTAGCGAGGCATGGTTAGAAATTTAAATTCCCATTCAGCGCAAGGGTTCAATATTTGATCTAGGCAAACTTAATACTATCAACTTCGATTGTGAGTGCCTTGATGTTTGTTACAGCAATGAATGGTTAAATTTTATCTTTGTAGACAATTGTTAAGTGCAGCATGGTCACTTAATTAGATTTTAATGAAATTTCTGAAGAATGAGAGGAAATTAAGGACATTAAGAGGAAATCGCGCCAGAGAATTGAGAGAAAGTGCCTTTGCTTATAAAACTGAGTGGCTGTTTTCCCTCTTTTTCCAGTAGTATGATAGATCAGTTTCGAGACTCAGTGCACATCTATGCAAATTTTGGGCGAACTGATGCACGCAACATTGTAAAAAGAATGCATCTTAATTTCCTTAAGGAGTAATTGCCTTTTCTTTGGCCCTCATTTTGGAGTACATTTTCACAGATAGACATGTGGGATATCTGTGAATGACCACAGTGGCCACTTTATTACGACTCGACAAAAATGTACAGCGAAAGTTTTTTCCCACGAATTGTGATGAGCAACCTTGCTTTTTCTTTGAGGAAATCAAACAAGAATCTAGTCTTCCAAACAGTCTTAATCGGTTAAGATTCATCTTATTAGCTAGCGCCAGATTTTAAAATAAATTCTCTCAGATTTAATTTTATTCCAATAATAACCCTGTGGACGCTTGCAGTGTCGTTTCTTAAATGCTGGATTGGACTCTGTACTTGAGTTTTTGGAACTAAGAGAAGCGTGTAGCTAGTGTAGATACGCGTTAACATGGAACGCTCTTACTGTCAAATTTCTCATCTTTTTGGAAGTTTTAGGAAGACGGAATCCATTCACATGGTATAATGAGATGCTTGAGAAGTATCCAATACGAACAAAGTGCATTACTTCAGGAGGTAAAAAGAACTGAGAGTTAATTAAGGTTTCAACTCTAGCATGATTACTATAATCGGCCTTCCTAAATAAGTTAAACTCACATGAATTCTTTTGAGTAAAAAATTGAGACTTCATTCCCCTCCTCCCCCTGCCCCTATCATGTAACAACCTCAGATAAAAACCTACCAAACATACATCAATGTAATGTCAAGCAGTGATGTTCATCTCCCTCATTACTTTTACAGTGCTGTATGGCGTGGGAGACTACATTGCCCAAAGAGCCATGGCCAACAATGAAAATGGTTTCAGTGATAAGGTACATGTGATATGTAGCCCTCTACCAATTCAAGTACTGTAAATTTTTAAGTAAATTGGCTCAATGCTAGTGGAATTTTTTTTTCATTGAGGCTTTTGTCAAGAACTCTTAAATTTAGGCATACTGGCTAGCTTCAAATTCTTATTTTGAATTACTTTAATGATTTTCTTACAGCGTCTTTTAAGAGCTGTTATTTATGGTTCAGTTATCATGGCCCCTCTTGCCCATGTGCATTTCAACTTTTTGGAGTGGTTGGTTGTAGAAAAGGTAAGAAGTTGATTTATTTACTCAAAATTTAACCATTATTATAGTATTAATTTTGTGGGCAACAGGGTAGCCTAAAGGTTGGTGCTCTGGACTCCAGGTTGAGATGTCTGGGTTCACCATCAAGCTGAGTCATTGCATTGTGTTCTTGGGCAAAGCAAATAACTTTCACAGAGCTTTTCTCCACCTACAATTATAAATGGATAAAGGTGAATTTACAGGGAAGGTTGATGAAATGCAGGGGGGAACCACCTTGTGATGGACTGGCATCAGGGGGAGGGGTAATACTCCTAGTCCCTTTGTGTTAGGGAAACTGGAGTAAGCTTCAGCTGCATGGGTCTCTTGACTCAAGTATAGACTCAAGTACAGACTTAAACGTCATGTCAAAAATTCAAATACACTGTCCAATAGGACCACTTTTGTAAAAATATATAATATTTGAGGTGAGAGGCTTTATCCTGTACTCTCTCCTCCCTCCACACCCAATTTCTGCCTTTTTTTAAAAAATGTTAGACTCTCAACTGAACCCTCATGCACTATACAAGTGGGAAGGGTGGAAGAGATGAATGACAACACTCCACACCCTCATTCAGGAGCTTTATTTTGTAGTCTAAGAGGATCTGTATTTGTAGTTAACACTCCTGGACATACCCAACATTCCTTACTAAACTATTTGGATAATCTGTTGATCTATCAGAATAAAGTGATCACATTACATACACCAGGAATGATAATCAACTTGAATTAATTCAATAATTGGTTAATTCATTACTTGAGTAATTGGTTAATTGGTTATTGTGTGTAATACATCATTGATTGAATGGTAAGATTTTGTTAGAGGAATCCTTAGAAGGTCAGCTGGTTGTCAGTTTCCAGTCTGTGGACAATTTGCTTTCTTCTCTTAATCTAGATAGCTGCAAGAGCTTCCCTTGTTCCTTTTGTGAAAATGTTCTTTGATCAGTTTGGGTACTGGGCTCCAGCTATAACTGTTGTGTATCATGTGAGGTTAGTGCATCAGCCTGACTTTATACTGAGACTTTTGCTACATTATTAATTTAGTGTTATAATTCATCATGTATTTTTTTTTCTCGCGCGCGATTGGTCTAAACTCATAACGTGACTAAATATTCCCCAGTTAAAACTAGGGAATATCCGAAAATATACCCCATGTAATATTCCCAAATTTTCAAGCCTACTTCCACTACGATAAGTTTTCTTTTTAAACGTAAGTTAAAAAACAAGAAAGCATTTTGTGGTTGTTACAGAAGAAGGGACATGTTTGTTTGTTCATAAATACTGAAAAGTGAACATCCCATGGAGCAAACGGTAAGCTGTTCTTAACGTTTTTCCCGCGCGTTGCAAAATATTTGAAGGATAAGAAACACATTAGCCTCCATTTGGCACAAAAATATACTGATTTATTATCCAACTGCACAAAGTAGCGTACAAATAACGCGCCAGTAGAGTACAAATATCCTGCGATATTGTACGGTTTTTTGGACAGTTGGTTTTTCTGTACTGTAAAAGACCTGTTTAAGCAGTCGACAGCGCGCGCTAGCTTCTCTATCCGCTTTGCTTTTACCACCGTGTGAGAAATGATCTGAAAGACTCCTTGTTTGTTTACTGGCCGTTAAAATACGGCACAAGTTGTTAAAATACTCAGCGATACTACACACCAAAACGTCTAATAAAATATATATCTTTGATCGGTTCCTTGAGCTTCGCTCACGGAAGACTGTTCGCATCTTAAAACAGAATTTCCCTGGACAAATATCCGTGCATATTTTGGCGCTAAATGAAGGCTATTGTTTATATCTACGCCTCATCAAAAGGGATGATACAATTGTATATGAAACTATTTGAAGCAATCAAGAACGTCTTAGACGTTTAAAGTATGTACTACCACGGTACTTACGGTAAAGTGAGCTGGATGAAAGTTGAAATGAGCCTTTTTGTACAATTGTCTTACAGTATGGGAGCAATGGAAGGCCTTAGTTACAATGAAACAGTAGAAAGGCTAAAGAAACTTTATTGGCCAACTCTTAAGGCCTGTTGGATTATCTGGCCCATAGTTATGGTTAGTATGGTGTTAACCTAATATTATGGTCGATCGTAAGAACAAACTCAACCAATAAAGAGAAAAAAAAAACACCCATCAGCCAACCAATCAGGACCGCGGGAAAAACAAGAAGAAGCTGGATAAGAACAGGATCGTTCTTTAAGTAAACAGGCGCGAAACCCGGTTATGTGAAGAGAACGGGAGTGTCCTGCGTTCTTCCCTCTTGTTTGAGAGGGAAGAAGAGAAAATGGAATGCGTTAATTGAGGAGATTGAGAAGGTTTCCTTGAATTTTTAGCGCAAAAATAATGCGGTTTAAGTTGAATCCGTCCATCTGTGTGAATTGAGAGCCTTTTGAAAGTAACTTTGCAAACCTCTGCCTTCTTGCGTTTTCATTTCTTTTCGCGTTTCTTCGGGCTTGAGCCAAATGCTTTTACGCTTTTTGCAGATTGAAATACCCCCAGTTTCCCTCCCCACCCCGGTAACCAATCGGTTTAAAGGAATAACAGTTCAACGTTATAAGAACATTATCATGTGTGTCTTTCTTATCATATTTTTCTTTCCATTCCTTCTTGTAACTTATTTCCTTCTCATCCAGGTTGTAAATTTTAAACTTATTCCAGTGGCACATCAGTTGAACTTCTGCCTTGCTGTCAGCCTTGTCTGGGCGACTATTTTAAGTGTAATTCGTGCTCCAGACAGCTCGTCCTTAAGCAAACTTGAAGAAATTGAACCTGCGTGCGCAGAGGTCCTTCCTGTGTCACATTTACCCGTTGATGGAGCCCAATGAGACCTGGTGACTCACAAGGAGGCTAGCTTCCCAAGACTGGTTTGAAACGAAGTCATCATTACGAACAAACTTTCTCTTGAGGACACTTCTTTAATTTTCTATCTTTCACATTGAAAAAAGGCGAATAATTTTTGAGTTCAGTATTCTCATTAACCTAGAATCCCTATGTTTAAAACCGCAAGCGAAAACAGTTCTCATTTCCGTGAAAGCTCTCTGCTGTGGAATAAAAAATTATTAGATATTCCAACTAAAAGTTACCAATAAACTGAATACTCAAATTACTCGTTTGAATGCTCTGAGTGAGTGATTGCGTGATCACCCATATTTTTCGCTGAATGTTTGAATCAGGTCTCATTTACAGGACACTTTTGTATTTAAGGATTGGTAACGTAAGTGGTTACACCAAAAGGGTGTTTCAATTAATCGATACCTTCAGCGGTTTTTATAAATAAGCCACTTCGGAGTTTTATAATTGGTAAAAAAATCGGGCGACTCGACGTTCTATTTCAGGCGACATGACTCAGGTTCCGGGTATGATAAACGTAGTATATTTTTATCTTGAAAATAAATCCTTGCAAACGCTTTCTTTGGGTGGACGCTACTTCAGGAGTGGATTGTGAAGTAGGAACTCTGTCAGTCTAGCAAAAAAGTGACAGAAATAAGTTACTGAAAAACGAGGCCCAGTGAATGTAAAACGTGCTGCACCTGTGAAATTTTTTACACGCTAAGAGCAACTATTTTAATCAAAATGTGACTTATACTCAGACAAATCAGAATCACCGTAGTGCTGATATGTGAAACTTTACAGTTTACGCTAACGCATGTGATACAAATGGGATTTTATCCTCTCGTACTCCAGAAAGTAAGTGGCATTTTCCTCCTTCCAACAACCTATAGTAGACTGGGACTGGCATTTTTTGAGCCTGCGAAACATGCCGCTGAGAAGAATGTAAAATGGCGGCGTAGTACCAGCGCAAAATGACCTTTCTTCATCGCTTGAGATTTATATCGTCATCTTTCAATTATTTGGCTTTTCAGAGAATTTCTTCCACACGTGGAGGTATTATCTCTAACAGTGTTTCTTATTCATGATACCTAGAAATGCTTGCTGACACTCTTGGTACCCGTTTCACCTCGAAATGTTTCTTCTTTGATATCCGTACAGGAATTTCTTCAGCCTGGCCTCTGGTAAAGCTCCCGATGAGATATTTACGGCTATGGGTTCCTAGTTTTAAAGCAGAAGTAGATATTACTGGTAGGTGTAAATCATTGTGCTTTTTGATGGTTTCTTAAATACTCGGAAATCATGCTTCAGCAAATATTAAAATCTTCACTGGGTTGAGCAAACTCTTCTGCTGAGCTCCCATGGCCAAACCATGAAGACGGGCTTTCACGGTGTGACATTTTTCAGCCTCCAACCCCTAAAATGGCCTCCGTGTATTTCTTTAACCATTTCCACCTTTACGTTAGCATTCATATTCTCCACAGTGTTCACTTAACATTTTCTGTGGTACTGACAAAGAGGATTTTTCTGTTCGGAAATCACGAGCTTCTTAAATTGGTGATCATTTCTGTCGCGATCATTTCTCATGACCTTTACATGTGATTCAAGGGCGATGCTGCAAGGAGAAAGTATGAGCCAAACACCCTTAGATTAAAGGGTTAAGCTGTGTGAAATCCTTCCTTCTGAAAAACCACTCTGTATTTCCAGTTATTTCTGTGTTTTCAGCTTAAATTTTGTCCCCTGTTGTTAGACTCCAACATAACTGTTATCTCTTTACCCATTTTTTCTTTCAAAGCTGACTCCTGGTCAAGTGGAAGAAAGTATGTCAGTGGTTTTGAAGATATTGAGGAACTCCATAAGTAAGCGTCGCTACATCATACTAAATACCTTAACATGTTGATGGTGTTTGAAACAAGGATATGCCCTGGCAAAATACAAAGCTTTAAACAGCTATCCTCATAAATAGTTTAGAATGAGGGAATAGGCCATTGTGAACATGGAGAGGTGCATGCAAATCTTTCACAAATTCTGAAAAGATGGTGGTAAGATGACATTAAAGGTTATGAAAAAAAGTTGTCTGACCACTAGTAACCAGCTTTGTAAGCTTGTTGTAAAAACTGACTTAGCTTTCATGAATCTTTTACCATTAGGTTGAAAAATAAATTTGGTGAAAAATGTTTTTAATTCTATTGGGTTACCTCCTGTAACAGAATGTCATTCAGCTGGACTCATTGAGTGCAATACTTAAAATTGGTTTGTCTAGATCTATATAGACTGGACTGGACTGGTTTATTATTAAATCACATCGCAGTAAAATACTGAATTGCATAATTATTTACAAGCTACTAATATACAATTATAAATAAATAATAGAACCAGATAACTGGACTTCTTTTTACTTTTCACTTTTCTAGAAAGGTGCTTTGGTTAGAAGATGTAAAACAATTCAATGTATAAGAGTAGTGTCACTTGCTCTCTTGCAAGCTTCTGTTTGTTCTTCACTACCCAATGGTTTTTCAAGTGGCCTGATCATATTACTTCTTGTCCATTGAACAAATGATCCACATTTTAAAACTGATCTGTGAAAATTGCTGTTTACTATTGTCTTTGTCTCTTAAAAGTGCCCCTGAAGAAGTAAAGAGAGTGTTTAGTCTTCAAAATGCAAGTCAGGTAATGTTGCAAAACAACCTTGTTTTGGATATAATTCTGGTACTTAAGTTCCCATGTGTTGTGATCATAAAGAGATTTTGCTTTTTTTTTCATTCAAAATTCTCTTGTGCTTTTCTATTCGTATCAGCGAAAGTATCTACAAAATAAACGCTGTTGTAAGGCTAAGTTAAGCTATTAATGTAAGCAGCTTTGGTTGGTTTGATTTGTTGTTAACCAATGTCAATTCTGATGATCTGAAAAAACTGCCTTTGTATGGTTTTTCCTCTATGCAGTGGGAACACCGTAAAATTGGTCTAGGAAAGATGGAACAAAAATATGCAGATAAATATGAACAAAAAAGTAAGTCTTCTAGAATGGTAAATTAGTGACTGAGTTGGAGGTTCAGATGGGAGAATATTTGGCTTGAAGTTCCTTAGGTGCCACTTTTAATCTTTCCAACAGACAAAGATTTAGTAATGTCATCTGAGATCTTTTAATGAACAGATGTACTGGCCTCTAAGAAGTCTCAATTACCTGAATTTCTTTCAGTTGCAAAGTTGACCATTCAAATTGAGGCAGTGAAAGCAAATAATAATGATGGAAGGAGAGGAAGAAAGGTAAAATTTTGTGTACTTCCACTCTCTAGGACTGAATACCAGTGTGAGGCAGATACTTTTGCTAGGCAAACATTCATGGCTGGTGCCAGGAGAAGTTACCAAGTTTTTTGGTAACTTCACTCTTTACAAGGTTTCCATTTCACTTAACCCTGTAACTCACATGAGTGACCAGTGTAGAATTTCTCCTTACAATTCGATACAACATCAAGCAGACAAGTGATGAGAATAAAGAAAAATATCAATGGGGGGATTATTAGTTGATCCAATACCAAAATCTGTCATCTGACCCTGTAAAAATTGTCTCCAGGCAGTGAAAGGGTAAGGTGGACAAGTGTATTTTTCTTGAAATCCTACATGTAATAGAAGACACATACACCCCTGTATACCTCTTAAGGAAGACAACATCAATGAATTTTCTTGCGCATTTAGCCATGCTGTTTACAACCACAGGACCTCTGAGAGGCCTTAAATTTAATTCTCCATTCCCAGGAGTAACCAAAAGGCATTTTTCCTTACTTTATAAATACTTTTTAATGTAGAAAGGTATTGAAAAGAAAAATTAATGTCCAAAAACATGATTTAACATTCAACACTAGACTCTCAGAGCTAAAATTTTACAAAATGTTTGACAGTCAGTAAGGGGGATCTATATTTAGATACTGGGAGTGGTAGGTTTTAAATTGTGGAAAAGAATTCCCTAATTTTCCCTTTCTTGCTTAGCATTGAGTTGAGCCTGTGCAAGGTCCCTGAGACTCTGTGATACGAGTTTTGTTGCCTGTGTGTGGTGCTTATATTTGTTGCGATTTGCCGTGGTAGTCAATTCTTTGCCAAAACTGAGGGGAAAACACCGTGCCTTTTTACCACATTTTACCTAAACAATTGAGGTTATTAAAAAGACATGAGATACGTTGCGATAGCAGAAGATGTAGTCCAAGTTCTTTTTCCTTCGTTTTTGTGAACTGAGACGAATTCGAGCGACGCAAATCTTTATCCATCTTGAGAAAACAGGTCTTGCTAATAACGGATTTATTACAATCTGGCCTGAAAGTTCAAAGCGGGGACAATGCTGAAAATTTCGAACGGGCAAGGTTAGCTTATTCGAACAATGGATTTGTTATTATGATTCACCTCACCAGCTCAAGGAGAGCCAGGCGTCTAATAAAATGATTTTTTGCTTTTTAATTCAATAAGCTATAGATGTGATGAATTTTTTTTTGATCTGCTTGTTTTTTAGGACATAGGGAATAAAGTATTTCTTTCTTGGCTGATTGCACAACGAAGAAAAAAACTACTGAACCTGAAAAACCTTCGTTTTGAGCGCTACCTGGAACTAATAAAAGAACTTGACATAGCTCCACTGGAGAGCCCGCACACAAAGTGGAACAAGTACAAGTTTAGGCAGTTTAAGATGGGTGTAGAAATCAAGGAGAAGAAGCGGCCATACCTACGGCGTGTATAACGATGGAAATAAACGATAAATTTTCGTTATAACGTGTTCCTTTCATTAACGAGGCGGGGGCATCCATGAAGACCCTTTACAATTTGGAGTTAGAGGAAATGATAGAGATCATTTTTTGATGGTTGATATACAAAAACGAAGTAATCACAACGGGCGATCAGAGCTAAGGTTGATATCACTAAGAGCCACTCATTACTCAGAGTGAATAAAAACTGGTGCGTTGGAAGACGCGCGTAAGCAAGACTCGTTCTTGTTTCGCATTTATATTGTCTGGTTTGACTCGGACCACTGAGTGTGAAACATCTAATTTCCTTTACCACATCACCCCTAAATCAAACATTAAGGTCACGAGAGAAAAAGGAAGCGATCATCATCTAAGAGTAGCTATTGATTGTTCAACAAATTCTCCTTGAGAGCACCTAAGGGAATTTATAGAGAACAGTATGGAGAATATACATGCTGAAGTAAGGTTCAGTTTTGCATCTGAGTGATTGAGAGTGATGCGGTCTGAGGTCGACACTCGCCATGTAAACTGCGAGTTCAGCGATTAAACAAGAAAGCAGCAGCCTGTCTCAGGGTTACGATAATGAATATGTTTAATCAATGTGTAAATCATATGGCTTCTAAACAACCAATAACCTGATTAAAATAACCACTTTTCGTCCCCGAAAAGGACTCGATCCCGGCGTGGATTTCGTTCATAGTAATTAATTTGCATTAAAACTGACTAAAGATTTTTTTATCTTGATTGACACAGTTCTTATCAAATTAACGAAACAACAAAAAAAGGCCACTGCGCTCACTTACGAGGAAATCACGATTTACATTGATAGTGATTCTAGGCAGGCCGTTGGAAATCTTCCATGTGTTAGTTTGCTTCACACTTGTCACACCTGAAAATTATTCGCAGCAAGGACACGCAAAGCAATACAAGGAAATCATCGTAACTGTTTTTAATTCTCTATCGTTTCATAACCTAATATTAACGTTTTAGTTCCTTCGAATTTCTTAGAACGATTTAACAGTAACAAACACCCATCATGCCAAAAAACATTCGTGATATTCTAAACCCATTAGTAAAATTTTCTACATGGAAAAACTCTATCAGTGTTCGAGAGAACCATCTTCTGAGCCAGCGGTTTTTCGACGATGGTTCATTGATCACAAGTATGATATACTTTTGGGTTGGCATACAGCATGTACGTGTTGCAACCTCCCAACATTTCTGACCATTCTTTCAGAGTAATAAACAGTTTCAATTCATTAATTCCACATTAAAGTGTAATTAAAGGGGTCGTAATAGTCCTTCTTAGCCCTGTTTACGTCCTTATTTGGCAAGGAGTTCTTGAATGTAAGGATTGTTTCTGGCCAATACTTGTTCCTTTAATCTCGCTACCTCTTGTGAGGTTTTCTCTTCTGTCATAGACTCAACTGGCAACTTGGCAACTTGACTGAGGAAATCTTTGATTATTTCTTCGCCATCCTTGGAAACAGACAAAAAGAAAGCAAAATGGCTCATCGTGACCAATAAAGGTACGTTTAATTTAAAGATGAATTATCACACGAGATGATATATTAGAAATCGGAAACTATCTTTTAAGCACCTAGGTGCGTCACGAATTAAAAGCACAACAGAGATCTATGTCTTATATCACAAAACCCACTCTACCACGCTGTTATGGGCGCATTTCGATTAACTATCTGAGTGTCATAAACCAAAATCATGGTAATCTAACGGCTGATTTTTAATTAAAAAATTAAAAAAAGGAGTCAACGAGAATCCCAAAGATAAACTGGCAAACGGCCTGAATCGCAGGTCAGTGCAAGTGTCTAAAAAATGATTTGTTTAATGCTGTATCTGATTGGTTGAGAGACTGTCTAGAGTCCTATAGAACCATCGCAGAGCGAAGTAAGATGAACAATATTATTCACTTGAAAATTGCTTTACTAGACTGGAAGATGCAGTGACATGCCTCGTTAGAGGAGTAGCCTCTCAGTATAAGCAAGCTGGTACACCGAATCAGCCTTTGGTTCAAAGTTTTACAGGCGTTCTATACCCGACCCGACCTGCAACATTGGAAGAAGGACAAGATAACCATTTTCTTGTACCCACCTGCTTCACCATGCGCCGTCTCTTGGCTGGCGATGTGCCTGTATCAGAGTCTGAAATAAATCCGCCATGAAACACGATTAAAAATTAGCAGTAAAGACTCTGGCAAAAGTCAGCAGTAAGTTACATAGTTAGCGAATTCACTTCCGTTAAAATGGGTAGTATTCATTGAAAAAAGAAAAACCAGACGGCTTTTATCGAGCTTGGAATCTAACAATGCATGGTTGTTAAACATCATCCGTTAGGGTACGGAATAGATTGAGTTGGACTACAACCCATCCTCTACAGGGGCTAGATCACTCTGTGAGCTTGCGCTGAGTCATTCCAGATTGGGCCAAATCACTATTTTCCCTGGAGTGGAGCGCGTTGTTGTAATAGCCGACAATCACAAGGTGTTTTGGTCACGTACTGTCGAGAATTATTCGAGGAAACTGCAATTCAACAATTAGACAATTCTCGCTTTAATGGTTTACTAGATTGTATGAAACGAGACGGCAAAGACTGTCAACAGCCCGTTGTTATTAGTGTTTTCTCCTTTCTAACTGCGCAAGCGTAAGTCATGATCTAGCCCCTTTCACTGAAAAACAGTCTCTCTTTCGGACCTCTTCGAAGAAATGCCACAAAATCGAATATATCTTCTCACCTAAAACTCCATCACCCAAGGACGCAGTGCTGCCTTGAAAATCTTCTAATTCCGCTGCTTTTTTCCTGGCAAACTGTAAAAGAAGACAACAGTAACGTAGTTTAATCACAAATTTTCATAATCAAAATAGTACAGCCTTGGAAAAGTTAAATGTTTGTGGTAATTTCCAAAACATAAAAACTAGCAAGGTTAATCAGGTAACACTAATTACCAGTAATGAGATCTAATTAGTGATCTAATTAGTGATTAGAAGACAACAGTGACGTAATTTAATCACAAATTTTCATAATCAAAATAGTACAGCCTTGGAAAAGTTAAATGTTTGTGCTAATTTCCAAAACATAAAAACAAGTAAGGTTAATTCGGTAACACTAATTACCAGTAATGAGATCTAATTAGTGATGTGCGTCACATTTTCAGAATAATAAAGACACCTCGTTCGATTGTTTAACATATAATACGTGCGGGCACTTTGCGAGTTGTGTAATGTTTTTCCCAGCCCCTGAGGGGCAAGAAAAAACACCAGCAATAGGCAACCAACACTCCGTGTTGTTTCTTTGTTTGTTTCTTGCAATCTCGTAGTAAATTTCGTTCTTTGGCATAGAGCGTTTTTCGATTGCATGTCGTAAAACTAAAATCAAGTAAAAACAACTGAGGAAATATCATTAGGAACCAAAGAAAACTCAAAGAAAAAAAACGTACGTTGTTGGTTTTAGTGTCGCATTCAATTGACTCTGAAGTTGGAGCAGGTTTCTTTTCTCAAGAAAAATCAATGTACTGCGGAATTACAAGCACCATCCACCTTTTTTTTTTCAGTGTAATTTATAACAGTTGACATCTGAAATAGACCAAGAACAACTTTTTCCCTTATGATATCCGTCGTGCGAATTGCGCGAAATCCTTGGCAAAATAACCCAACGCCGCTTGAATTCTGGGAAGTAAGGCACGTATCAGAGATGCAAATGTACCGGTATTGAAACTCAATTAGCGGCGGCTAAAGTCACGGTAATTAGTAATAGTTAAATGATTATTGATTAAGCTTCGTTATGTGCGTCATCAACTTCAAAACAGCCATTAAGAATAACAAAACAACATTTAATTTCCTCCATAATCAATTAGAGTAATTAAGAAAATTGATAGGTATCGGTAAAACGTGCGTATTTTCAAAACAACATATCACGTTCCACCCAATCAGTAACATGGCGCTAATCAGTGATGATTTAACCCAATCAGCAATAACTGTAAAGAAAGTAAGCTAAATTAACTGTATGCATCATCAGGGGCACTTTCAAAACAACCTCACGATAAAAAATAACTAAATGAATAAATAAATTTCCTCCAAAATCAATAAATAACAGTAAGTAATACGATTAAGATGTATCGGTATAACGCGTCACGCGTCATAAAGTAAATTAAAAACAGGATAATTAAGTGTTATCAACTAAGTCGATGACGTAAATTGGCCACCGTACAGAGTTTAAAGGCTGACGTTTCGAGGGTTAGCCCTTCGTCAGAGCCCTTCGTCGCTCTGACGAAGGGCGAACGCTCGAAACGTCAGCCTTTAACCTCTATACGGTAGCCAATTTACGTTATCAGCTCAGTTGATAACACTAAATTACCCTATCATATTCTCCCAACGACGCAGCACCACAGTTTCTTTAGAAATTTACCCCCATACATTAATTTCAAAACAATTTTAATCAAAACTCAGCCAGTTATTTATAATATTCGGCGCTAATTCCTAAGCTTAACCAAATCAGCAATGCCCATTTTTGTGAAAGTAGAGATCAGAGGCGACGGTATCAAAACAACTTCGCAAACTAAAAGAAAACAGTTATTATTTACCCATCAAATCCTTAGGGTGACCAGCATCTAGTTTCTCCTTACAGTAATACTCCTAGTCATTCATTACGATCATAAGAGTAAAGAAAATGATGGCTTACTTAAGAAGCTTTGATTGTCAAACGAATTCTCCTTTCAGTAGGAAAGGAGATGTATAAAGAAGAGTGCAGAGAATATGGATACTGATGTTATAGTGTAAGGGGTGAAAGAGTACTCTAAATAATGCTAAAGTTAAAAAAAAAAGAAAAAAAGAACGCTAGGGCAATCACAGAGCGAAGTAAAGCAAAGGCAAAAGAAGCCCTACACTACGTTGAACAATCAGTTAAAAATTGCTCAGAAACACAACATCAAATTTTTATCATCACCGGGCCAATAACGAAAAGCAATAAACAAGATGCTTAAAATTCATCATCGAAATGCGTCGTGATCTTCTAAGTTATAATTAGCAGTTTAGGTCACTGTAGCTACCCTATAATCTTGACACTAAAGAAAAGGGTTAGTGTTCCACGAACAACATGCGTCACAATCCTATTTAACGATAATTTTAACTGGAGACGTCAGTTTGGAGACACCAATTAATAGAAATGGCTCACAAGCAGTCCTACACGCGATCGTTGCGCACGTCTCGAAGCAACACATGAGTACAAA